GTCTTCCTCCAGCATATCACTTCAAGGCTCTGTTGTATCAAACACTTGGTTTGTGTGTCTAGCTGTTTGATTGTAGATAATTGAATTTCCACTGGAAAAAAAAAGTACCTACAGAATGGATTTAGTAAAGAAAAAATCAGAAGTAAAGCATATGTGCAGAGACAAACTGCAACAGAGATGATTTCATAAAGCAAGTACTAGTCCTCTGCTACCGTAACTGAACAAATGTTTGCCAATATCTGTTAATGAATATTTATGTCCAGAGGATTATTGACTAAAATAAACTGACAAATGGTCTTTGCACATCCAGAAACTTTGATTTGATAAGATTCATGAGATTTCTGATGCTCCACAATCAATGCAGAGATAATATCTCAGCTTTTTCTTATTCTGCTACATTATCATGAAAATGGGAAAATGAAAATACCCTATAGTTTTGGAAACCGCAGGAAGGTTGCTAAAGGTTCAGCTCAGGTTTAGTTAGAGCTGTTGGGCCAATGTCTGTTCTCCCTGAAAAGGTTTATCAAATACAGTTGAACTAGGAGGGATCACGCCATGTAGTTTGCAATCTGTAAAGGGCCATTTTGCAATGTCCAGGACATTCTCTCCAGCGTGACCCCCACCACCCAGCTCGGTGCTGTCGGGGAACTTGCTGAGGGTGCATCGATCCCACTGCCCGTGTCCCCAGAAAAGATGTTCAACAGGGCTGGTCCCAACACCAACCCCTGACAAATGCCACTCGTCACTGGGCTCCTCTTGGACACTGAGCCGTCGACCGCAACTCTTTGAGCACGACCACCCAGGCAATGCTTCACCTGCCAAGCGCTCCATCTATCAGATCCATATCTCTCCAATTTAGGGACAAGGATGTTGTGTGGGACAGTGTCAAAATATTTACACAAATCCAGGTAGATTACATCAGTTACTAGTCCCTTATCTACCAATGTTGTAGCCCTGTTGTAGAAGGGCACCAAATTTGTCAGGCCATGTTGGCTGTCACCAGCCACCTCCTTTATTTTCCATATGCCCTGTAGCAGAGTTTTCAGGAGGATTCATTTCATGATCTTTCCAGGCACAGAGGTGAGACTGACTGGCCTGTAGTTCCCCAGGTCCTCTTTATTGCCCTTTTTAAAAATGAGGGTTATGTTTTCTTCTTTCTGGTGAGCGGGAACTTCACTGGACCTGGTATAACAGAAATATTTTCTTTCTGCTGCTTACCTCTTGGATAAAGTATGACGGATTAGAGCACTAGTCATTACTGCTCTTTCTTAAGCAGAAGAAAGGACAAGAAGCCTGTCAGAACCTTAGTCATTGATTTTCCTGGAGCAAAGGGTCACATGTTAAGTACTATTGATAAAAAGCATCATTGCGGTGTCCATGGAGACCAGGTTGAGGTGAAAGTGAACTGTTACTGTTACAGTGACAGCTTTAGATGGATCTGTAAAGAACCTGCTTTTTCCTCTAATCATAAGAAAGATCTTAGTTATTCTACGTTGAGCACTAGATCAAACCCATTGCTTCTGTGAGACCTGCTGTGCAGGGAGAAGCAGTCACTGTTGACTTCGAGGCAGAGGAAGGGATATTTGGAGTGTCATAAAAACTACTCAATGCTTGCAGGTGTTGCAGCTCCAAGTGCTTGGATGCTTCTGCTGGAACTCTTGTATTTTTAAGATGAAATTAGTGTCAAATTCAGGCTACAAATTGTATGTCTGCAATGGTTCCTTATATCCCTGAAAACTATGCATGTATAAATCTCACAAGTGATTGTACACATGTAGTACTGGGTCTGTTTGCAACAGGCTCTGTCCTCTGCTGTGTTTGGCCACATGCTTGGAGAACATGCTTGGACATGGTGATCCTCATGCCAGTGTGTCCTTCCTTTGGGAGCATGCAGAATTTTCTCTGCTTAGAAAGTGAGGACCAATGCTGCCTGGTCAGGGTCCCAAAAGGAGCACCCCAGGCTCGTGCAAACTTATGATGAAATGGCTTGAGTGAGACTGGAACCACTCCTGCTCCATTTCCAAAATGATTATGCCATATATAGGTCTGTTAAATGGTGACTGACTGACACCATCTAAACCATCCCAATAGCATATCTGTTGCTTGAGTATTGTTCCATTTGCAAGAAACTCTTTTCTTTGTTCAAGTGGACACTTGCCCTGAAGAATCCTTCCTCTGAATGAGCATAACCAACACTTGCTACCTCTCCCAGAGGGCAAAAAATTGGTTTTAGCTACCCAAATATCCACTCAAAAGTCTGAGTCATCAGTCTTTTGGTATTTCTTTCAAATTTCACTTGTGGCTTCTATCAGCTGGTTAAGTTCTAAATTTTCTGTAAATGGCACATTTGCACCTTTTGGGTAAAAGTTGATGTTACTGCACGTTCCAAACTGAGAGACCAATGTGATTTATCACTTCTGGTGGGATTTTTCAATCCACAAATCATTCTTGTAACCATCTACCTGCATGAGCTGTCCCTTCAATTCGTTATTGGTTTTTCTCCATATATATTCTTTTTTCCCTGGACGGAGGCAGCTGGGATTTCGGAAGAGCTTTTCTTGTTGCTCTTGGAAGGGAAAAGGGAAAAATTGAGTTGTTCTTTACTACCCTCCTCTGAAAAAAAAATCCAAATGCTCTGCTTTCTTCTCTACTTGGGAAATGGGGCCATCTAAGTGTCTTCTCATGGCTGGGCTGGAATGTATGCAGATGCTGAAGTCCTGTGGTGAGAGCTTGGCTCAGTGTTGCACAGAGATCCAGAGAGTTGGGTGTGCATTGGTAGCAAACAGTGAGTTACTTGTGGATGTCCTCAGAGCTGTCAACAGAAATATGTTTTAAAGCCACGCTCTGGGTGTTTGCATTCTCTCATAAACATATTATATGTAGGCAATTTCAATATGCAAAGTGAACAAATCTGTTTTTAAAACAATTGTGCTCTGGTTTGAAAATGAAGGTTGTTCTGTCCTAATGCAAAAAAACCTCAGCATTTTTTCACTACTCAATGAAAACCAGAAGTATTGATTTTGAAATATATAATTGATTGTAACAATAAATCACTGGACAGTATATGTGCAAAATTGATTTTTCTATTGCAATAATTAATTTGGTTTGTGCTATAACATATTTATGCAGGAACTAAGCAACTCAGTAATAGTAATAAAATGTAGTTGGTCAAAAACTATCCACTGTGATGTGGTTGTCTTTTCTCTTTGTCTAAAAAATTGTAATACAGTGCTGTAAGAGATAGAATAGATACAGTTGTGCAATTGTGAGGTCTTGCTCCATGAGAAACCCGTAATACCCTGAATGCTTTATATCGTGCTGTGTGAAAACATTCAAAGGATTGGAGACTTGCAAGAAACAGCTGGTGCCCAGATTGTTTTAGCAGAGAAATGTTGATGTACAATATCAGCTCTCTTATCAGTCCAGCCCAGTAAATCTGGTGGGGTTTTCTCACAAATTGATAGAAACTGTAATAAAGAATAGAATGAATGGACATATGGATGAACATGATATGACGAGGAGGGATCAATACATCTTTTGTGGAGGAAGGTCTTGCTTCACATGCCTATTAGAGTCCTTTGAAGGAATCACTGAGCATATAGGCAAGGAGATCCAATTGATATCGTTGGCTTGGGTTTCCTAAAGCCTTTTGATCAGATCCCTCACAAAAGGCTCCTGAAGGAAAGCAGTTGATGCAGTGTAAGGAAAAAGATCCCTCTGTGATAATCAACTGATGTGATAGAGAGTGAAGGATGGAGAGAGGTTTTGGCTTGTCTTGGCCGAGGAGCGCCGGCAGTGGGGTTGCCCAGCGAAGTGTCTACACTGTCTGGTGAACAGGATGGAGAGTGAGGAAACATGGGTTAACGACCCAGCGTAGCAAAAGTTAGAGCTGATTGCTGAAGATCCTAACGATGCGGAGGCACTGGGAGACAAAAGAGTGGATGAAATCCCATGCAGTTATATCCAAAGCGATGCCGAGAAAAGACGCGTATGCGCCGCTGTGCGCTGAACTAGCTGCTGCCGCTCGGGGAGGAGATCTTGCTGTTCAGAGTCTGGAAGCACCGCTGAGTGTTGGGGTTTATTGGGAAATAAACGGGGCTGTAAAGAAAGCGATCGCTGCAGCGCAGCCCAAACCTGCCGCGCACCCTCCGCCAAACACGGGAAGGAAGAGGAGGTGGGGGAGAAGGGGATGGGGATGGCCAAGTAGGTGGGCTGGCGTCTGTATCGCAGAGACGACGTTCCTTCAGGGGAGAGGGGTGGCAGAGGCGGGTGTCTGCCATCAAGGGGTGTGCCAGGGTCCATCAGGAAGGGACAGCTTCACTTTGGGCTATTAGGCTGAGATAAGATCCCTCGTACAATCTAGACTAGACAAGAATATGTAGAAGCAAGAAGTGATTGGTCATGGTTAATTGTATTGCTGTTGACTCTGATGAATGGCTCAGTGAAAATTCCTTTCCATGTTCAGCTTGGCAGTGAGTTTATTCCCAAGAGGTTTGACTTCCTTTACATTGATATAACAAGAGTACCGTAATGTCTCCGTGAATGTCTCCAGAATTAAAATTATACAAAATTGTTAGAGCTGCTCAGGTTGATATTTGTATCCTACAGTCAAAAAAAGGCAACTTTGGACTGCAAAGTGAAATGAGTTGCAGTGTCTTCTCAACCCCAGAGCTGACATTTCTAGCACCCTAGGTATTCTAGTGGCCCATTGAAGTGAAAAAATCTTGAAAAAGGAGAAAATTTACTATATAAATCCATTGTCTATAGCCATTCACTGCTAGAGAATGTACAGTTTTCTTTATGCCCATGTGAATCTTTTTAGATTTGATTTGGTTTTCTTCTCAAAATAATAACTTAGTTGAATACATGTTGTTATTAGAAAAACATATCCTTTTTCCTTTTTTTTTTTTTTTTCCTATTCATTTTATGTGCTTTATTTCTGTTATTTCCTTGCCAAAAAAAAAAAAAAAAAATCAACAATAATATCTCTTCTTTTACAGAGCATCAAAGTTAGCTGGTTGCCTCCACCACCAGGTACTCAAAATGGATTTATTACAGGCTATAAAATCCGACATAGAAAGACTACCCGCAGGGGTGAGATTGAAACACTGGAGCCAAACAACCTCTGGTACTTGTTCACAGGTCAGTGTTCACATGGTACAGCCTTGGAAGGTTTTGATGAATTAAATGCTTTGGGAATAAAATATACTTTCACTTCAAGGGAACATTGATTTCTTTGCTGGCAGGTAGCATTTATTGTGTTGTACAAAGACAGTCTTTATGGTGCTTTTTCTAAACCAATTTTTTCCTTAATGTTTTTATCATATGTTTGTCTCCTGGATTTTATCATTAATGAATTTGAGGCTGAAATTCTTGTGTCTAGTGTCTTAAGCCTCTGCTGTTTTTTTAGAGCACTCAGTCAGCATCTTCTGTTTTCTTCTGGGTGCCAAAATATCAGTTTCCCATTTCTTTTCCAAGATTTTCAATGGAAAATATCTCCTCACAGAATAAAAAATGCAACAGTAGATCATAGAAAAACTGTGACTCCAATAAATGAAAGTAGCCAGATGAGTATTGTAAGGGTAACAGCGAACTCTGGTAGGTGAAAATGAAGTTCACTGGGGTTCTTGCATTATGCCCACAACATAACTGAGAAAGCAGCAGACCACCAAGGGTGAAAACTAAACTTTGTCAAAGTTTTTCCCCTGAATTCAGTATAACCATGATTTCACCTCAAATGACCTGCATCATGTTTACTTTCACATGTAAAGTGTAATCTGTGAGAATCAGAAGTAATTCTGAATTGCATATTTCAGAATGAACCGTATAATTTTCCATTTTGGAAGGAAAAGCAGTTTTTAATTTCAAAATTAAATAAAAGCAAAAGTAGAACATTTTTATGAGGAAGACCTTAAATAGTGAAATTTCATCTTGGTCATCTAACCTAGGCTCTTGACCAAAGTCCCCATGGAGCCTCTTACGAAGGCAACATAACTAATGGCTGCACAACAAACAACTTTCTGGGGGGAGACAGCATGTTAAGCATGTTAGACAAGTTGAAAAGGATCTATTTTCTGGTAAATAAGGGAGAAATAATGATGAGGGCTGTTCAGATGTTTGAGTTGCTGCTGCTGTGATGCCTTAGAGAAGAAAATGTAGCTCTGCAGTGCAAGTCCCGGAGCGGCCGCCACCGCTGCGGGTCCCATCCCTGCGGTTCGCACCCTCGGCAAGGGGGAAAGACTGCGGGAAGTTAAAGCCGCTGTCCGCCTCGTGGGAGCAGCACAGATTAATCTCTGTTGCTGTAGATCCCCACGTCTCGAGCAAACTCCTTCTTTCACATGAATTATTCCGGGCTTGAAGCGCTGCGGGAGTCCTGGTGGGACTGTGGGCTGCCGGCAGCCCCAGCCTGCCTGCTGCCCGTCTGCCGACGGCTCCGTGCAGCCCGAAGTGAAGTGCTTTGTTTCACAAAGCTTGGGAATACGTGTTTGAGAAAGCAATTAAAAAAAATATCCAGATCTCATTATTACTTTCTGCATGCATATATTGTGATTGCTGGAGACCGAGCGATGTGGCTCTTCTAAATGGACGTTTTAAATATTAACATGTCGGCAATTTTTGCTGCAATCCTAGTTGGTAGGCAGGTGCTTTATGGGATAATAAGAACATCTGCAATAGCAAAGGAGTTCAGAGTTACAGTGCAGGTTTTTAAATAGCCGCTATCAATTTTAGAGTAGGCTTCCATGTCAGCTAAATGTTAAACTGCTCTTTTTAATTATGAGTGTTCTTCTCCAGAGAATGTTTGCAATTAAATTAAAGATTTTTTTCCCTGTGCTTTGTGGTCAGTATAGACTGAGCAAAAAGATAAACCTGTATCCCCACCTCAGGGACTTAGAAGTCTTGTGGCACATTCAGGAACACTTCAGTAATTGTTTTCTGATGGCTTTAGCCACAGAGGAAAACGTCTATTTCTGAATTCGTGCTTATTTCATAATATTGGTAAGACTCCATAGTTTTTGTCTGAACTGTGTGCTCTGAAGTTAATCAGAAGCACCAGAAAGCAAAACGCTCTTCAGTTGCTAACCTAGCTCCTAGCCTTCAAATTTTATGCATGAGAGTGTACCTGCAGTTCCCCGTGTGTTAAAAGCAGTGGGCTGGTTTTGTTAAATGTGCAATTAATGCCTTAGTTATGTAAAACAATTCTTCATTTTTCTACTAATTGGATTTTGATTAATTTTGTATGTACGAGCACAACCGATGGGAATTAAGACCCAAACTAGTCCTGGGCCAGTGCAGCCCTCATTCAATTTTTGAAACCTTTCCTTTTAGTCAGAAATCTCTTTTCCCAGGTGAATAACAGCCTCCCCCCACAGCTTTTCTGCTAAATCCCTGCCCAGCCATCGCTCGGAGGGTGCTGCCCGTACGACATCCCCACGTACAAGTGCCGCATAGCTCAGTCAGCAAACCAGGCAACAGGACGCTGCGTAGGGCCGCAGTGTGCTGGGGGAACACATTTCTATGAATATGCATATATATATATTTATATGTATGCATTTCTATGTATTTCCTTACATACAGCAAATCTGAAGGACTATTATTAGAGATTTCATTTTACACAAATTCTACTGCAAACTCTGGTATTTTCATTAATTTTCTTTATTTGTCTTCTTCTTTGTGTCTGATTTTTATTTCCCCTTTTTTTTTTTTTTTTTTTTTTTTTTTTTTTTTTTCTCCTGAACAGGACTTGAGAAAGGAAGCCAGTACAGTTTCCAGGTGGCTGCCATGACGGTGAATGGGACAGGGCCCCCCTCGGACTGGTACACAGCAGAAACACCTGAGAACGATCTCGACGGTAAATGCATCTCTTTTAAAAGCTGTCGTCTCCTAAAGGCTTCTGTCTGAGGGGTGCCACCCAGGCTGAGGTTAGGGTGACATGCTCAGGGTCTAAACACCCACCAACAGATGTTTCCTGACATTCCTGGGCCCCATATGCCTTGGGTTGTGTTTCTCAGTCATCACCAGGACCAAAGGGTCAGAAACCTTTATTAAAATAATTCTGTGCCAGAATTTAGCTCCTGAGCATCAGGGCCATTCACAGTACTACGATGAAGTGAATCTGTACCTCCATAAATGATAAACACCATCAATCAAGGAAACAATGAAAACGATGCCAACAAACCTAACAATTCATTAAACAAATATTCAAATAGGTCAAATCCCGTTTCCCAGTCTTTATTTGCAAATGTTAGAAATGCAGGTTGGCAATGAAGCTGAATAATTAGTGAAAGATGATGAGCTGCAGATACCTGAAAACTGTGAGCTATATAAATCAGTGCAGATGCTGACACAAAAGGGAGGAAAAACACTGAAATGAAAGAGATAGATAAAATGACTGGAATATTTGAAGTAGTAAAGGAATAAAAGGAGAGTAATGAAAATGTCTACCTAAAAAATTAAACAGAGTGCAAATCAAATGGAACAAAGAATCTGACAGATGGAAGTTACAGCAAAGCTACAGACAATCCATAAGAAGCAAATATATATTAGAAAGAAGATGAATAGGAAATACAAGGAAACCGATGAAAATTGCTATGATTTTTAAAACAAAATAATTCACCTAAAAAGGATTAAAACCAAACTGGATGAAAGAATAAATAAATAATCAGATTAAATGCACTGTAGTACTTGATGTTGCCTTTCTTTTGACTGGCCAGATTTCCTTATGATCTCAAAATCAACCCTTGCAAATTGAAGAATTTCTGCCTTTCCCTATGTCCAAACACAATTTTCCAGCAGACTGGGAGTGACTGCAGTGCATGGCACGCAAAATGGGAGAACCAGTACCTGTGGTTTCTCATCAGGGTTTTAAAGAAGAGGTGGTGCTTCTAGACGTGGTGTAACTATACCAACGGATCACACCATGCTGCCGTGCATGATGATATCTCTCTAATTGTGCTTTGGCTAGACAGCAGTTTGAGAAGTGATGTTGTTAACGTGCAAACAGCTGACTCCTCACTGGTGACAGTAAAAGATAAATTCTGAACACACTGCACTATGCAAAAAGAAAGTAACACATTTGAGCATATTCAGTTTGATTTGTAATTAGTCCACACTACATTCCTTTGAAATTGTTGTGCCCAAATACACGTGTGCATGCAAAGACGTTAATTGAGTAATCACGGGAGATACGTGATGGAAGTGGGTGCACGTGAATAAATTCAAGCAAAGCTATTTTGTTCATGTGTTGTATTTCCATGCATTCACATTTGCAGTAGTGATGAATTCTGCTTGTGAAGCTGCAGCAGCCCGATGCTGGGAATGCACTCCGTGGCATACTAGTTGCAAATGCCCTGATAAACCCTGGGGAGAAATCCACTTATTACTGTAGTTATGCAGAATCCTGCAAGTGTCAGCTAACCAGGGATGGGCTGGAGCACAGGCTGGTAACTGCAGTTCCCTCTCTGCTGCTATGGCTAATGCAGTTTCTCCTGATTTCACTGGAAGCCTGGTTGGCATCAGCAACACAAACAGTATCCCGGAGAACAGCATCAAATCCCGATGGATATTCATTTTAATTAGTGTCTTTTTTTAAAGTGATTAGAAATCCAAACATAGCTGCTTCCGCAAGGTTCCCTAGAAAGCTCGCGTGTCTTTACTGACATCTGGGAAGGTTTTAAATATTTATTTTAAGCCTCAAATTTTGTGCTTTAAAAAGAAAAAAAAAAAAAAATAGAAAATGAAAGCAGTGTTTCCCCCAAAGAGTCAGTTTTAAATAGCTTGAGCAAGGATGCAAGAGAATCTGTGATCAACTTAGCAAAGGTATCTTCCAGGAAACTGGGTTTAGGATGCTTGGTTTCTGATTACTGCATTGAACAGATGGAAGCTGTTATACATATTAGACAGCAATGTAGTTTAGCTTCAGCTCTAAATTAGTGCTTTAAGAGCATGACAAGCTAGACTGCTATCATATTGTAATTTATACTGAAAAGTGATGGAGGAAATATGTGAACAAAATAGGATGAGTAAAAAGTGCCTCGACTTTGTAAGACATACATCTTTGCACATCTAAGAAAATTGCTAGTCACCCAAATGTAAGGTGTTTTTCAAGCTCGACAGTGGAATTAGGAACCTTTAAGTAGCACTAAGTGCAGTATCCCCTGGGTGGAAGATGAGGGTGCTCGAGCCATCTCATAGAAACACAGAGAAGGACTCGGAGGCACATGTGAGCAGATGTGGCATCCCAGCAGGAGATGTCACGCCAGGCAGTGACACAGAACTTCAGCTTCCATTTCCTGGGATCCTAATTGTCCATAAGGGAAGAGAGTAAGAAATGCAGCAGCAGGAAATCTGGTTTCATGGACACATCTCCTGAGGAGCTCTCCTCCTGCGTGCCAGATGCTGGTCTGGGGACTGTCTGACATCCACAGCTCGTACCCAAAGTACTCAAAGATTTCCTCACCCGAGGGGAAAATTATAAAGTCTTGGTGCAGTTAGGAGGGGGACTGCAAAATTGGCTCATTTGGGACTTCATGTAGGAGAATGGGATCTCAAGGTTGCTTCTCAGAAGTAGTTCTGGCATCGCGTTCAAGCCCAGGAGATACAAAAGTAAATGTGTTGATCTAGAACTTCAAGGCAATGGCCTGACAAAGCAGAAACATGAGATACATATTTCAGTGAGAATTTTATTCCTGGATATCTGAGTTCTGGGGCACTGAAAATCAGCAGAGCCATGCAAAGACTGGATGGACCAGTTTCCTGAAGAATTGATGGATTTAGATGTTTGGCAGAAGTCCTTACGGTGGAAAATGTGTTTCCTTGTGAAGAGACACAAAAGTTATTTTGTTTGAGGGGAAAAAAATAGTTGATTCTGACATTTATCTTTGTACTTTGGTTCGTGAAATACATGACAGAAATTATAAAATTTGGATCTGTTTCATAGTAAGAAAAATGTGTTTTTTTCCAGAAAACAGTTGAAAGTGAATCTAATCAAGATGCAATTAAAATTGCTTTATACAGAAATCTGAGGCAAAAAAAAATGAAAATTTCAAAATCCAACTCTGAGTTTATGAAACTTTAATGTTAAAAAAATAGTTCAAAAATATTGTTCACCCCAGCTTCATTTTAGAGACTTAATTCATAAGAAAGGTTCAAGAAATTAAACTGCCTTTTGCATTTTGAAACAAGAAGTCATGATTTATCTCTGAAATGCATGAATCACATATTTGAATTGTTTGAAATAAAGAATATGAAATGTTTGAATAAAGTAGTTTTAACCTAAACGGCTGCCTAGAGGTATCTGTACTGCAATTTAAATCCCTGTGTTGTGTCAGATGTAAAAATTATCATTTGAAGGCAATCGGTTCTTTGAATGCTCTGATCTCCTTTGCTGCCTGAGAATTGCTACTTTAGGAAGTTCGAGGAATTGCAGTATTGCTATGTTATCCAGCTTCTCATTTCAAGGCATTAAATTGTTATTTTATCTTTGGGGCTTGTAAGAAATGCTTCTGTCATTTGTTTTTCAAACAGCACTGTTGAGGAATAGCTGCTCAAGTAACTTTTGCTTCTGCATTAAAACAAAGTTTGGGAGTGGAGTTGGGGGTAAATGGCAACTTAACCTGACTTACAGTGGCACTACTGGTGCAATGTTTCTTCTTTTTGTGAGTAGCGACTTTTCAGTGAATTTTCTTCAACCTTTAAACAAGACCCGTGCTTTGCAATTTTAAGGACTTGAATGCAAAGGACTTCTAAAATTTCTGGGTGTTTCAGACTGGTAACGTACTAATCAGACTTCCTGGAAGGTGCAACAGGTTTTCAGAGTACTCTAATTGTGTTTATAAGAATTCATCTCAAAGCACGTGAAATACCAAGGACACATGTATGGCACTGGTTATTGAAAAGTGTTAATTCTTCTTTTTATCACCTTTTCCAAGGTTTACAGTGGGAATGCTTCACAACTGTGAAGTGTCTTTTGTTGGAGTTTGCATCATTTTACATTATTACTGTTTTTTCTACGCTGTCCTTGTTGCCTTCCATATAACCTTTCATCTATTATATTGCAAGCCTTTTTATTGGGGGAAAATAGTAACTTGTCTCTTTCTGCTCTCAAAAAGACAAGCTGCTGTGCAGCTCCTCTGAAGAGACTTGTGATATGATAGTTATTGGGTAAACTCAAACAAAAGGCATTTACTCATCTAACCTTTATAGTAAAATTAGGCTTGTAGAAGGCAAGTAGACACCAGGTGATTAATTACTACTTAAAGTGAGGCATTTTATCTGGGAATACCTGTAAATAAAATACATCATTCTATTATTGCATTTCTGAAATGTTGGTGTATTGTTTAAAACAGCTTCAAAGCAAGAGATGCATGTTCAAGAGTTAAATTCACTTCTTGTTTTCACGGGAAAGAGACAGATTACTACCAGAATACACTAGTATGCTGCTAGCAAAGTAAACTGTTCTGTCAAATAATGTGTGAGCACAGGACAATTTGTGTAATCAGCTGTCAGGATCCTGCTGAACTTGTAAATAGACCAGTGAAGAGAAAAGTTGTCCTCCTGGAAATTCTTTTGCCCGTCATCTTTCATTTTCCTGCATTATTTTAAATCTCTCTTGTAGCCTTATGCTAAAGGTGGAAAGCCCTAGGAGATACTCTGTTTAAAACAGGAGGAGGTCTATCCGTGTGCTTGGAAGGGAGGGACGTAGCTCAGAAATTAAATTGCATGTAAGCTTTGCATGTAACTCTGGGACACCTTGTCGGGTTTTTTGTGCAAATATTTTAATCTAAACTCAAACCTTGAGTAGAATATTAATTTATACTTTTATCTTTCTTATTTTTTTCTTTTCTTTTTTTTTTTTTTTTTTTTTTTTTAATCCCAGAATCTCAGGTTCCTGACCAGCCAAGCTCTCTTCATGTCAGGCCCTTGACAACAAGTATTGTCATGAGTTGGACTCCGCCGCTCAACCCGAACATTGTTGTCCGTGGGTACATCATCGGCTATGGCGTGGGCAGTCCGTATGCTGAGACTGTGCGAGTGGACAGTAAACAGCGTTATTACTCCATTGAAAATTTGGGTGAGTAATTGTTTTCATTCATTTCATTTCATTTCAACGGATTCCTCTGAGATTATGCTATTTTTGAAGGTTTATTTTTAGGCTTTCACTGGTGCTTCCTTTATATGTTGCTTTCTTAAGCTGCTTCTGCATTCCATTTTATGTTTGTTCTTACCTTCAAAACTCTGGACACTCTCAAATATGTCAAATTTCTTTGCTCAAATGCTCATTTTATTCAGTAGATCTGATTAAGTCATGTGCTCCTAATACTGATTCCCACTTGTGAAGAAAGCTGGACCTAAAGGTATTATTCCCCGGGCTGGCCCTCCAATGTTTGAATTTAATGGCAATCGCAAAACTCCAACTTTGTGTCTGTCAAAATGGTGCCGAGAGAGAGGTGGTTATTCATTATTCATGGCACAGCCTCTGTGACAGTTCATCTAAATTCTCAGCATGGTACACAGGGACCTGGATCCTTCCAGTGGTGATGGACCGTTCTCCTAGCACTGGGAAAACAGTTCAAAGTTTAAAGGCAGCCAAAAAGCAAAACGTTTAATGGTTTCCTTGTAATTTCTTCTTTAGCACTTTTATTCCAAGTAAAAATGGTAAATTCTGCTTAGCAACCTGGCAACGATCAGATATTACAGGAAGATTCATTAACTTGGTGCATTAGGGGTGCACAGCTAGACTAGTCATCTCAATTCTATAGGACCAACCAAAACTCTCCGTTATCTGAGGACACTTTTCTTTGGAATTGGTATTACACGACACTATGAAACCACGTCGTCCAACCTTTTTGCTGTTTCCTTGGGGAAACCTGGGGAGTAGAATAAACTGATTTTACTGCTGCTTCATCAGACAGCTTCTCTATGTCCAGATGTATATTTCATGATGGAGGTATTTGCAAAGAGCCATGCATAAACACTCTCAAATATTCAGTGGGTTCTACAGAAGAAGGCAGATTTGATAATGTTTTGTGCAAGTACGAAGTCATTATGCAAAATGGAAAGATGTCTGATTGGACTATGGAAGGAAATTTTGTGGAATATAAAGATAAAAACTATTACTAATGAATGCGTGTGTCTAATAACTAGTGGTCAGGATTAAATGAAAAGTATTTTTTTTAATTCCAAAAGGGATTTAATTTCTCCCAAGTCTATTTTAAGTTGTTTCATATCTTTAATGAGTTTTCAGTTCAGTCTTACACCACTGTTGACCCAGAAGTACTAGAAAATAAAATTATATGGACAGGGCTATCTAAGCCAATGTGTTTGGGCTTTGACAAAAGCTGAGGAGGAGATGCCTACACAGCTCAATTTTATAGAGTTCCACATGGTTAGCTCTCACTAAAAGTGTCTTGATTACCAACTGGAGAAATATCTTGGGTTTTGTGAAGGTTTAGTGTTTGTTTTCCTTCCAGTATTAAATGACCAGTGAATACACCTGCTCACAGGACCTCTGATAGCCACTACCATCAGGTGGGAGATGTGTTAGGAACAACTTGCAGCTACAAAAGCCTTCTCATAGGGTAACTGCAGTCGATATTCATGGAAAGTGGATGGTGTACTTCAGCTATTAGAACTGTTTCTGTGGATTAAAAGGGTTTTCTTATGTTCTGCCAGCAGGCAGAAATACACAGAAAGTCCAGCAAGTCAGGGAGGATGTTTCACTAAAACACTTTAATTACAGAAGTAGCACTCAGACATCTAGAAAATGTCAAGAAACTGTTTTGAGTGTATCAAATATTTAGTTACAAGTAATTCGGTCACTGAAATCAGGGTTGGGTTTTTTTGCTGCACATCCTCCAATGGACTGAGGTTTCATGAAAGTTATTAATTATTCAAATGGAAAGTATCTTTTCATTGTACATTTTTTGCTTTGATTGCAAATATTCAAAATGTGAACAGTGTAACTTAACTGTCATTGTCCAGATAAGCTGCATGCATCTGGTCTCTAACTGGGTAAGGATACAAGCACTTTGGTCAGTGCATATTTTAAATTTGACTTGTCTGAACATTCGCATGTACAACTTTGAAAATCAATTTCCATGAATAATTGCACTTATTAAATTCCATCATTTAAATATCCACAGAAAATGAACCCCAGAGGGATGTGACCAAGGGCCCAGAGAAAGCTTTTAAAAAATTAGAACAGTTGCCAACACTTCCTACATTATTCACCCACTTTATTAGAAACCATTACAAGAAAATTACACAAAATGATGAGGCTGAAATCTTTTCCTAGTAAAAATACTGTTTTCAATAGGGATATGAATCAAAATGTGCTGCTGGCAGGAATAAGGGGAAAAAATATTTCCTAGGTGTTATGTGGACTCATCCCACCTGTTGTACATTTTCATGTGAAACCTATGCATGAGGGGTATACATTATCTTAAACGTAATATGCAAAGGCAACAATGAAGTCTGATACCTAAATAAATGATGAACTTCAGTGAGTTTTTCTCTCCCCTCCAGAGACCTCATCCCTTTTGTTCCTTGTGGCTTTCAGTGATTGCTTCCTCTTGTTCCCCAGCTCTCCTTTGCCTCGTTAGACAGAAACTGTGGAGAGGTCACCCCACTTTGCCGCAGTCCTGTCTGTGATGTATCTAGCTGAAAAATTGGGTTTTTGCAGCTTCCCGAGGTTCACTGCAGTTCTTTTTATCCTTCCTTTGTATGCTATTTTGAAGCACACTGCAAACCTGTGTATGATTTAGATTCTGGAGCGGTAGATACTTTCATTAAAGAGCAATCAGATTTGTTTGACATCAGCTGCCTTTCAGAAATCCTGCCTGACTCTTGTTTGCAGTCACTGTTTTCACATACAGGTGCCCAAACCCAATAACCCAGGTCCACACGTGGCATTATTTTACTGCTATAAGCTTGTGCTGTAGCCCTGAGAGAAATGGTGGTGAAGAGCTCCTCTGTTAAAACTAGTGTTGTGCCAGACTGAACAGGGATGCAAAATACCCTGGCACCATACGTGTGTGCATACATGCATGCCTGATCTTTTTCCTGGGAACAATTTTCTTCCTTCCGTCTTCAGACCTGCACAAAAGCACCTCCTGGACGTCTTTCCAAAGACCTTACAGTTGAGAGGTGGAGAGGAGGGATGCACGTAGGTATTGAAAGTTGGAGCTAACAGCCCGCAGGTTGGCTCAGTGGCTTTATTCCCTTCCCAGCATCAGTTGCCCTGGAAATTCCTGCCTCTGTGATCCTCCTTTGCCTGGTGGTTCCTGCCACAGATGTGCGATAGGGTTGCTGCTGTAATTACTGCTTGTTGGATATGTTCCTCCTCCTGATATTTGTGTGGACTTTGTTCCTCCTTCCTTAACGTGTTGGTGCAGCCACGGGTTGTTGCTGGCCACCTGCACGCACATCCTGTGAATATGGATCGCTGGGTACCGTTGTTATAAAATTCTGGAAATACAGTAATTTGTTGTAATTTTATGTGAAATTCTGTAATTCTAAAATCTAATCCTCAATCACTTCCTGCTATCATAAAATGAAACCGAGGCAGAGTCAGAAACAAAACCTAGCCCTTGCTTTAAGCTCAGGGCTGTTTGTCTTCTTTGTGGCCAGGTTGTAGAGAAGATGGTAGCTTCACCTGAGGTTGTGGTATGTCAGTGTTCAGTGGTGAAACCTTTGTGGTAAGACAGAACTAATGATAAACTGTCTGACCTACTCTCTAGACTATTTATTTTACCCAACTTTACAAGTTTAACTGAGTCACCCGAGTTTGAGCCATATCAGCCCGTGTCACTTCTCTAGTCCATCAAGCAGGAAAAGACCACAGCAAGAAAAGTCATCTGACTTTTCCTCCCTGTTGACCATGGTGGATGTCCGTAACAGTAACTTACCCATGGTGTGCATTTGCACATCAGGATTTGCTGTTCTAGAGCTGATGATGAAATTCCAAAGATCTTTGCACCTTCAGTCTGCTGCTAATGATCAACTGAAAATGCGTTCTGTTTAGTACTCACTGGTTTTGGATCAGAGTCAGATATCGAAGTCTCTTTAGGTATCCTATTAGACACTTCTCCTTTGCAATCCTAAATACTTTTAAAACTGCTTGAGAGTCCCAGGCTTGGAAGCAACGGATGATCTGCTTAAGTAGGTCACCCATAAGGGAAGGATGGAGACTTACATGCTCACAGAGTGGCCTGCTTTTTAATGCCTTTCCTCTTGATAATGCAAGTGTAACACCGGTATGCACGACTCATGGCAGCTTTGCCTCACATTTCGGGTACTTAATTGATTACTTCGTTCAAGCAGAACTTTTTTAATGCCTGAATCAGCCTGTACCCAAGCTCTTACAGCACTTGTCTGAGTAGCACACTTTAGCTACTGAATAAATCACTTCAAAAACATGAAGAAAAGTACTCAGTCTTTCATAATAGTGATTGAGAACTTTATTCTGTGTGATGATCATCTTGAATACATCTATATAGAGGTAACACTTGTACTCTAGAATGAATTAAATAGAGTGATTTTCTCATGACTGAGTGGTCATATTGCCTTGGAGACGCTCTCCACAGGTGCAGAAGAATATAAGAATATCCAGAGACTTAAGTTTTGTCAGTGAAGGATTTGTTGTATTTTCTCTCTGCAGTGTATGAAAGATACTTGATGTCAGTCTCATAAATTTCAGGAGCAAGCATCCCCTGCTCTCATTCAGCCTTTTCTGTGACAGAGAAATCAGTGCTTGACTGACTCTCAAATTAATAATTCTAACAAGGAGACCCACTTATAGTGAATCACTTAGTTTTCTTGTCTTTTTTTTTTTTTTTTAAAATTAATAATTTTAATTTTTTTTCTTGTGATTATAAATGGCAAGGTTGTTGGCTGATAAATGGTATTTTTAACAATATTGGAAAATTCATAGGTGCCGATTCTGATCTTTTATGCCTAAGAAGTCACGATTTCTGTACTGATCCAACTCAGAAGGCGTTAAGCATAATAATGAACTGACTGGGCTCATGTCCATGGAGCTTTGTATTAAAGCCTACTCATGAAATAAATGTT